CATTTTATTTGGCCCATCAAATAAAATAAATGAAGTCATGCAAATTATCGCGTGGTATGCGTAATGGGCCAGCTTGGATTATACTGTTTGTGGCCTTTAATTGGTCCGGTACTGGAAAGTCTCGACGATTGACCACTTATATCTCCGTAGGTTCGCATCCATAAAATATCCTAAAATATTGAAAATAATACATAAAATATCAAAGCAAAAATAAATCCATCCAAATAATAAATAAGTCGAAAAAATATAAATGTGCAAATAATTATGTGTATAAAAATACAATATTAATTATATAAAACGTGCACATTTTTCGACCTATCAATGGAGTAAAACCCACATACTTTGAATTTTTGCCTTACACTTTGGGGTTGTCCAACTAAGGTAAGACTTTCATGTCTATAAGTAAATTTGGATTAAAGATTGTGGATAACTACTCGTTTAAAATTCAATAAGATTTTTTAATAATGAATTTAAAGTTAATTTGAGGAAGTTGAGCTTCAGCTGGAGATAAGGCTATGAAGCATTATTTTAGAATCAAATATGGTCCCAAAATGCAAACTCAACTACCTCAAATAAGTATAAATGAAGCTTTGATGAAATTATGTGTGGATTGACACTTTGAGGTCTTGTCAAATTGTCTAAATGTCTGAGTCTCGTTAGTCATAAATGTGGCTTAATTGATTCAGATTCATAAGACAATAATGAGAGGCATAAGGTATGTCTAGTCAACATGAGTTTCATCTAAATAAGGACTTTGGTTACAAGAGGTTTTTCTTTTGGTTTTGATGAGAAACTCTTTGTAATCTATGTCATTTTTTAAGCTTTTGATATTAAATTAACTCCATCTATGGTATTACAATTATATTAAGTCATTATCTCATTTTTTTATGGAGATAAATAAAGTTAATAATTGTATATACTATAGACTGAGTGGTAGATACTTAAGTAAAATTAAGTTTTATCTCATTCATTGTCCCAAGAATGAGTATAACTAGAATAGACAAAATAGATACATATGGTTGTTAATCTTTTGTATTTTCAAAATGTATGCATTTGTATTCCACATATATTTGATTATTTGACAAATGATTAAATCTTGATTATTAACCTATTGAATGCAGCCAAAGAGTTTATAAAGTTTTGTTCGAGAACAAAAGAGAGTTTATACTCACTTAAGGATTATTGGATCATTTGTGAGATCATTTAGAACTCTAATTTTGAGTTTATTGGATGTCTGTAAAGTTGAACGATCCAAATTTACGTCAAGCTACATTAACTGCTAGTTGCAAGAACTAATTTGGAAAGTGCCAAGCAGACACTTATAGTTTATTCCTCCTTAGCAATTGAGATTTAGCTTATCTGAAAACATCTTATAAGGTTATGGTTGCATAATATTATCACGAGGCTGCATGTTGCGGATGGTATTGAATACCACTAAAGTTCTATTGTGATAATATTAGTTTGCCATATTTGAACAATAGAAATTGTTCATAAAATTTCTTGTTGTTAAGAATAAAATTCATGTTAATGAATTTTTATTGAACACATAAGGATGAATTTATGCTAGCAAATTCATAGCTCTATTATGAGGTATACTAAGCTATTAACACTTGAAGTACTTTTTGAGTATATCGCTCATATAAGTGTTACTATGGATATTGCCTTAGTTCAGTGGGAGTTAGTGTTCAATGTATTCTTGAATGTTATAACTTCAGTTTTCTGCAGAATAAAGTTGATGGTTCTGATTCGTTATGAATCACTAAGGTTTTCTATTTTTGTGACTTTGTGTTGCATTTATGGATTGATCTCACTAAGGATTTAAAGTTGGACCAGTTGGAAATAGACATGATAAAGATCACATTGCATGTAATTTCCATGCTACTCACCATATTTGATCTATGTCATTGAGTGTACTAGTATGGTGATTTCCGGGGTTTAACCACGATCTGAAATGTGGTGAAAGCCGCGGTAGTTCCATTGCTAGTATATGAGATGGACCAGATTGTTTAAGGTAGTCTGGAGATGAATAGCATAAAGTTGCGCAACTAAAGAATTAATATAATTGCTCTGGAAATAATAGGTAGCCCAAGTGGGAGATTGTTAGGAAATATTTTATTTTCTATATATAATCTAATTATGGGCAACATATTATATACAATTATATTAGCTATTCAATTTATTAATAGACTCAATTAAGTGATCTAAATAAAGTAGAGTCCATGGGCTACGGAAATTGATATGGGCTAATTGAGTGTATACCTAATATTATTAGGGTTAGGTGATAATGGGTGGCCTACCCTAGTAGTATATAAAGACCCTCTTGGTTATGGTCCCCAATATACTAAATCAAACATAGTTCTATTTTCTCCCCATCTGAATTGAGAATGACGGTCCCATATGAGGAATAAGGCGATTTAGTTGAGGAAGAGCATAAAACTGACCCCGTTCGTGATCAAGGATGTGTTCGTGATCCAGATCGTGTTCATGGAGATGAGATCCGGAGATTGATGATAAGGTATTCCGCATCTAGAAACTCAATCTCAATGGATCTAGGTATTCCTTATAATCTTTAATAATAATCTAGCACGATGTTGATTTTCCTAGAATTAAAGTATGTTCTAGGTTAATTGTTATTGAATTTATATTATGTGATTATAAATTCCTACAAAGGAGCCACATCGTGGCCATGAAGATCATAAGAATTGTGTTCATCATCTTATATGTATGTCTAAAAAAAAAGGCAATTTAATTTGCATGTATGTCTTAATTCCAGGCTCTTTATATAGATAAAAATACACTAGAGTTTGTACCAAAAAAAAAAGAAAAAATACACTTGAGCTGGGAAAAAAAATGTCAAAATAGGCGTGGCTAGATTGATCATGACCCAAATATATTGATCAACTTTGTTTTAATTTATTTTACTAGTCTATTGATCAACTTTGATTTCTAGATACCTTTATTCTAATTTATTTTACAAGTCTATTGATCAACTTTGATTTCTAGCTAGTTCTATCTAGTCAATGCCTAGTTCTAATTTTACGTTTGTAGTTCATTTTTCCCTTTGAAATAACTTGCAGGGCTTTTGGATCTTAGAGAAGTAATTTTAAGTCAATGTGTCTCATTGTTTTATCATATTTTAATTTGGGCATAATTTAAGTTTCTTCCGCCACATTCATTAATTTTTAAAATTAGCTAGGGTGTGATGAGATATGAATTTGATTCGTAATCATAATTAATTTTAAAAAAATATGGGGCAAAATTGCATTTTATGCCCTGTAACTAGGGGTGTGTGGTAAATGTGGACAACATTTTTTTGGTTTGGCAAAAGTGTCCTAAAACTTGTTAAAAGTGCTCAATTTGGGCACAAATTTCGAATTTTAACAAGTTACTGTTCTATTTTGTCGAGTGGATGAATAGTGAACTAAAATTGATGTGATGTGCATGTAAGAATGATTGATTGATATTATTTAATTGTATTGATGATATTGAAGATAGTGAAGTTTAGTTAAATTTAAGTTTTGATTACATTTTTTTTTTTTTTTTTNGTTAAGTTTATATCCTATCACACCCTTAATATATATGTTAACTTAACCCTCATCAAATCTAGGATTGGCATTTTTTTTCCAGTGATATACCCAAATCTATTACTACATAACAAGATTATTTATTTACTAAATATAGTAGTAAAAGTCCAAATTAATTCCTCTTAAATTTTCTAATTATGGTAAATACAAAATTTATACGTCATTTGATGTATTCTTTTTTTCCGGCGATTTTAAATATGTTTTTTTCACTTCTCCATCTAGTTTCAAAAATTAGATCCTAATATATCTCAACAATTTTTCAATGTTAATTCATGTAGAATGTCTGAAAATTTTAAAATTCATATAACACATTATTAAACTTATTTGTTCATTGTTGATATTATATGAAAGTATTTTTTTCACTAATAAAGAGTTGTATTTTTTTTAAAAAAAATTCACTTGCATAAAAAATATATAAACAATAAATCGGGTCAAAAAATGTATTCATTTTTAAATAAAATATTTATATACAGTAAAATCGGTTCAAAACATTATGTTTTTTTTTCAAATACATATGAATATAAAGTGTGATATTTTTTTTTCATAGTGATTTTGGGATGTATGTGTAATACTTTTTTTTATAAATTTTTTCATATATAAATTTTCCTTATATACTACAGATTGTGAAGATATGTGATAGGCTCAAATGAACATTGAAAACCATAATGAAAAATTGGCATATCATGAAAGTGTCAAACATCGTAACCCATGTTGCTTGACTTCTACTACTAAAAGATTTAACTTTACAACATTTTCTTTACTTATGGATGTTAGAGAAATTTGATAGGTTCAAGTGAACATTAAAAAGTATAATGAAATTTGAAATAGTTCTTAAAGAGTCCAACATTATAACATAATTAACAATTGTTTGCTTGACTTCATGCCCATAAAAGATTCAACTTTATAAATTTTCTTTACTACGGATTCTGGTATGTGACAAGCTGATTGCTCATTCTATTTTTATTATAGCATAAAGAAAAGTACAAAAATAAATCACCATTGTAAGTGGAATGCACGGGATATGATATTAAGATTGCATCATAAATTAATTATATATAAATAAAATAATCATGGTTTACTATACATCATTAAAACTTATAAGTACACTCTCATTTAGTTTGCATAAACATTAATACACTAATATATAGATATTCGTATATTTTGAGTATCTCCTCATGAAAGCATTCTTGATTTTATAATTTGGATTGCGGTATATTTATGGAAGGAAAGTATTCGCAATAATAAATTTCATAATTAATTTCAACCATTAATTTAGTAATTCATAATTAATTTCAACAATTGATTTGGTCGGACCAAATTTGAACCATAACATAGTTACTCCAGATTTACCCTAAGTCGATTTGACTTGTAAAAGTGTGAACTCGACTCGTTTGTTTACTTAAACAATAAGTTGCACTCCAACAGATAATTAATATTGTTTATTAACAAATATAAGGTACTCGACTTGGATCAAATAGTACCTCTAAACAAATCTCTATACTTTTCATTCCAAAAGTGTATCTTTATTCTGGCAACAATGTAAGCAACTAACTAAACCATATACTATTGAACAAGAAAAGCCCCACTAAACCAGATTTATTTGAAGATAACATAAATTACACAGAGAATCCTATATGCTTCTGCATATTTACATTGTTCTATTTATTTGGGGACAAAAAACAAGAAAAAAAAAGACTTGTATGTGTTTGTTTGTACATCATGAGTATTGTTTCTTCCTTCTATTTATGACGAAGCCAAGCGTGGAGGTTTATTACATCCTGAAAATATATTGCAGAAAGATCTGAAAACGGACCGAATAACAGTAGACTTCTTTCGCTGGTAAGCTCACGTGCGATTTTCATGCCCTTAAGGTTTCACACTAAAAGAGAAAAACGTGTTAGCAGCCGATTTACAAGACTTCGAACTTGATTCATAACTCCTAGGTATAGTTTAAATAGCATAATAGGAATCACAATGCAAATATTATATAATCACAAATGATCAGAATCTAAATCAAAATAATGTACATGTTGTATACAATGCTTTCTGTCTCAAGAAATCGTCATGTATATATGTATATGTACACAATCGATGAACAAGTAATAGAAAACGCCGAAAAACAACAAAGAAGGAATAGGCATTTGATTTTCATATAACTACATTTTTCGCACTACTTTTGGGAACTTGGAAGAATAATATCCAAAAGTTAAAATAAGGGAGTGCTCTCAATTCTCATTATAAGCTACTAACCTTACTCAAGGTACATTTCAACTTTCTCCCTTATTGCTGTTAGAGGCCCCTCGAGTTTCATCAATTTCGTAAACTACACCAAACGACAAAAAGTAAATAAGGAAAGGTCTAACAAAATTAATCGGCAGTTTTTATTTTTATTTTTCATCGAGGATAAAGCAAAACCTGAGATGTCTTGAGTTGGAGTTCCTTCCACTCGAGAGAAGAGTTGCTTCCTTCTACTATTCCGGTCCCAGCATAAAGTAATGCCCCGATATCCTTTTGATATAAAAATCGATATATTTCATTAGAGTACGTTTACATAAGATTGGTTTGAACAGTCGACAGAACACAGTCGTGCATTAATTTCAGCTGGAAATCACATATTTTATTCTTATTTATTTGTGATATTTGAAAGGTTATATATTTATATTTTTTCGAACCTTTCCTACTAATGCTGATCTTATTCCGACGGCAAATTCACTCTCAGCACCACCAAACCATCCAACCGGGCCAGCATACATACCTCGGTCGAACATTTCTGAATAATAGAAACAGATTAATTTCCAAAAAGGAAATAAGAGAATGACCAAGAAAAATGGCTGGAAAATACTGAAATGTACAGTGAGTGTGCAAATTTATTTATTTTTTACCAGTTTGTGATATTAGAATTCGTGCATCTTCAGTTGGAAGCCCACAAACAGCAGGGGTTGGATGAAGTGAAGACAAAATCTTAAACTGAGAAAAAAAAAGGTGAAAAGATTTATAGCCAAACTATAATGAATTATTGATTAGCAATTGAATAAAGGTCATGGCACCTCGTCATCTTCTTTCTGCAATGTGCCTGTTAGCTTAGCATAAAGATGTTGAACGCGTGGGAGTTTCCTTAGAGCTTTGCTCGGTTCAACTACAGTGCTTAAGCACACGTTCTAAAACGCAAAACCCGAAAAAAAGAGAACAATGATTTTACTCCCCTGCCAAAAAAAAAAAAAAGAAAGAGGTGTTTTTGCAGAAGGGCACTACATTCACTTGCCTCGAATTTTCTTCTTATACTCTCTCTTACGACAGCAAATTCATGGTGATCTTTAGGGCTGCCAATGGATTGAGAGGGATAAGTTAATACAGTTGAGACTAAATTCAAGATGTTTGAAAGGTCAAACTTCAAAGTAGATATTCGGACAGAAAAGAAATAACCTGGTAAGTAAATCATGTCCTATTTGTAAATCTAGTGATTCTGTTCCTCCTCTAGCTCGAGTTCCGGCCAATGCCTCACTGTATACGCTTAGACGGTCTCGGTAAAATAATCTCTCAGGCTACATTAAATAAACCAAAATAAGAAAAGGATAAGGGAAATATTAGAAGATATCATTAAGAAAAAAATCTTGTATGACATTATACTCATTTCATTCTTAAATAATTAATGTTTGAGTGACAACAAACAATTAGTGCGTACTTGGATACAAATTTTCCGAAAAAAATCCAATCATTTTTAACCAATACTTTTTTTTTTAACTCAAATATAACTCAACTTTAACTCAAAAAACGTTTTATATTAAATCATTTCCAATTTTGAATGTTTTATACTAAAATAATTTCAACTGTTCAAAGTTACTTACAGTGTTCCCAATGAATGCAGGGGAATCAGGTGGCTGAAGACAAAATTGGTACGAGTTAACACCTTCAACCTACAAGAATCAAGAACTGTGTGTTATAAAATCACCTCATTGTTATATCAGTGGTTAAAAAAATTTTAACTCCGGTAAAAGTAAGAGAACCTGCAAGCTCGATAACCATTCTAAAGGATTAATCTCAACCGTGGTCAGAATTCTACTGCTACGTGCAAGCACAACCTGTAATTTTCAGAAAGAAATCCAATCGTAACTCGCAAAAACTTGAAATAAAAGAGAAAAAAAAATACATGGTAAAGAATGACAAAACAAAGGAGAATAAAGGAAAAAAAAAAGAACCTTAACAAGCGAGGAGTTTTTCCTGCTAATCAAGTCCAAAGCTCGTTTAACAGCTTGATCCCACGAAGCTTTGTTCGGAACATGAGTCTGATGGAGGACAGCAGCACGATGAGAGCTACCATTTATTCTCTGAACGAGTGTTGAAACCTGTAATTAATGCAGAAAATTTTTTAAATTTCGAGCCAATGAGATTATGGATTAAAACAAACAGAACAAAATCCAGACCTCGGACAGTGTAGCTTCGAGTGCTGCAATTGCTTGTTCATAGGGAAGTGAAAGATGATTATCCCACGCAACAGTTGCAGCTATCATTGAACTTCCTTCAAACTCGTCAAACTCGATCTGCAAAATATGTTTTGAACAGTTCATTGATTTTGTTCAGCGATAACTTTGAAGTCCATAGCCAAAAAAAAAAAAAAAAAAAAAGAAAAAAAAAAAAATACTCGCCTGAGGGACCATAAAGTAGAAAGAACCAAAACCATTCCACTCAGGGGATATATCAGATATCGCATCAAAGCGCATTGCACCATAAGCACGAATCAACGGACAGTTTTTGGATAGGAACCTTGGTTGAACATATGAGCAATATTTAGGACTTTGGAGTTACATGATAGCATTACGAGCTTAACACAAACATTTACGTTTTTTTCAAAATATTTTACGAAAGCCGATGATCACTCTATTCAACTTTCCCAATCAGGTTATAATCTAGTAAACTTGCTCCTATGAATATCACATCCCAACGTTATTCAGCACAAATCCAGAACAAAATGAAGAAGGTCAAAGACACATACACACTGTGAAAATTGACAAACATTTATGTACATTACCTTTCAAATCCCAACATTGTATCTCAATAATCCAGCACTAATAAAGAACAAATGAAGAACCCCACACGCACACACACTATAAAAACTGGTAAAGCACATATCTTTATGTATATTACCTTTCAAATCCTAACATTGAATCTCACTAATCAAGCACTAATCCAGAACAAAAGAAGAACCCCACATACAGACACTGTAGAAATTGTTAAAGCACATAACTTAAGATATATTACCTTTCAAATCCTAATTTTGTTTCTCAATAATCAAGCACAAATCCAGAACAAACGAAGAACCCCACACAAAAACTCACAATAAAAATTGTTAAATCATGCATCTTTATGTATACTACTACCTTTTGAATCCCGATATCGTATCTCGCTAATCAGGCACTGGTCCAGAAAAAACCGAAGCAGCCCACACAAATACACACTATAAAGATTACTAAAGCATAAACCTTTATGTAACTTACCTTTTAATCGAATGCCAATCTTCCAAAGAGAACGGTCGGAGATGGCGGAAGGAGACGGCTGAGCCGAGGCCAGCAACACTGACAAGTTTCCGTTGAGGAGATGAATGGCCGTTAATCCCATTGCCGTTGCCGTTAACGTGCTCGATTAGTGAGATGTTGTCCGTATCTCTGCCGGAGAAAAAGCAGCGAGGAAGAAGATGGCCGTGGCTCTGCGAATGAAGCCAGTCAAGCGCCTCTATCTGCTCTCCGATGGGCACCTTCAAATGTAAAAAAAATCCATTTTTTACTTTTTTATATTTATCGTTTATATAAGTATTTTAAAAAAATTAAATAATCAAAATATGCTGTTAAATGCTTAAATTTGTTGTTTTTGGACCTAACTAGTAACTAGTATTCGACTTATGCATTTACACAGATATAATAAAAAATTGTGAATTATTTGTATGCATATAATGATAAATAATTTTTTTTTGCAGGCTAAATTTATAATTAAAGGAGTTGAAATATTTATTTTTTTAAATTGCGTTAATGAAATTGGATGTAATGTATATTTTGGTATGTTTTTTTTATTTTTGAATTATTTATTATGTATTTAAAAATTTCAAATACATTTTTTATTTTCTAAAATAAGTTAATTTAAATGTAACCACAACAATAACATCTAATCACGTTAAATAGTAAACACGTTATATGGTCATCTATAAGTAAATCAAAAGTTTAAAATGATTTTTGTAATTTTGAAGTGATTAGTGTGTTGATTATTTAATAATTAAATGAGAGGTTAAATAAATAAAAAGTAATAATTTTTAGAGGAAAAAAGTTATATTGCTACATAGGTATAATTTAATAAGTTTTATTAAATGCTCATGAGCCAGCAATTATATATATATAGATAACACACTTCATCATAGCTTAATAAAAATAATTAATTAAATATTAAACTACAACGAAACGGGCACAAAAAACACTATTAAATGCACGTAAATATGACGTATGCCAATTGATAAGATAAACAAATTATTTAACAAGTTATAAATTACCTTGCTTACATAAACCAAATATAGACTACATATAAAGCTTGTATAGATATTTATAAAAGACATGATAAACTGTATCAACTGAATATAACACATTAAAAACTATATATATTTTACTATCTATAAACCCATATAAATAGTTATTTTATAAACTCCATATAAAAAAACTTACGAGTTAATTGATGTTGCATCTATATTCTTTATTTCTGAACTTTATTTCTATTTTTAAAACTATTTGCTTGGTTTTAAAGTTCAACAGATTACAAAGAGTTTAACAAAATAAATAAACTTCAACAGATCAATAGCTACAATTGAAATTCCAATATCATAAACAAATTTTCTACACTTGTAATCCCCAGCAGTTTAATCATCATCATCAGTCCGAAATTCTTGTTCCTTTTGGCCCTCAGAATAACTTTCATCATCTCCATCGCTTGAATATATGAGCTTTTCTTTCCCCTTGGCCTCATAATCAGGACGCAACTTCTTTCGAGTTCCAGAGCTTCCGCGAGTATTTGGCCTACTACGATCTTCATTATCGGACACAAAATCGTCATCCCCATGAGAGTGGCCCCGTTGCATTATACCAACTTTCTTATGTTGGAGTAATTTTGTGCCAATTAATTCCGATTTCCTCCAAAATTGTAACTTCTTCTGTACGAGTTCTCAATTCATGAACGCGAACTGATTCTTAATGAATCTGGTAACAATCACCTTCAAAATCAGATGGTGTGTTAGAAACGTAGGTTTTCACACTACTTTTAGCCATGAAATTTGAGATAAATATCAGAGATCTCAAAATATATGATATGAATGTACAATGCTATGTCATTTTTAGACTATTACAATTAATAGAAATGCTAGATACTCAACTATCCCAACTAAATTTAGGCAAATATACATAATAGAACATTCATCT